ACTATAACTTTGTCATTTCTAAAGGTATCAACTTCAAACTTCAAATATATGTTCCTTATCATCAACCACATCTTATGTGATAAGGTTCATAACTCTAGAACCAATATTTTCAGATTTATCTCCCCTTGAACTTTGAATTTTCCTTAAAAAATATTATTTTTAGCTCACCTGTCACAAAGTGACAGGGTGAGTTTTGTGATCGCTTTTCGTCCGGCGTCCGTCCGTCGTCCGTCCGTTGTCTGTCCGTAAACTTTTGCTTCAAATGACATCTCCTCATAAACCACTAAGCCAATTTCATCCAAACTTCACAGGAATGTTCCTTTGGTGGTCACCTTTAAAAATTGTTCAAAGAATTTAATTCCATGCAGAACTCTGGTTGCCATGGCAACCGAAAGAAAAAACTTTAAATATCTTCTTTTGAAGAACCCAAAGAGCTAGAGCTTAGATATTTGGCACGAAACATCTTCTAATGAGTGTCTACCAAGTTTGTTCAAATAAATGCCCTGGGGTCAAAATTGGCCCCGCCCCAGGGGGTCATTGATTTTCCCTATATGCATATAGTAAAAACTTAAAAAATCTTCTTTTAAAGAACCCAAAGAGCTAGAGCTAAGATATTTAGCATGAAACATCTTCTAGTGAGTGTCTACCAAGTTTGTTTAAATAATAGCCCTTGGGTCAAAATTGGCCCCGCACCAGGGGGGTCATTGATTTTCCCTATATGCATATAGTAAAAATTTAAAAAATCTTCTTTTAAAGAACTCAAAGAGCTAGAGCTAAGATATTTAGCATGAAACATGTTCTAATGGGTGTCTACTAAGTTTGTTCAAATAAAAGCCCTGGGGTCAAAATTGGCCCCGCCCCGGGGGTCATTGATTTTCCTTATATGTGTATAGCAAAAACTTAAAAAACCTTCTTTGAAAAAATCCCAAATAGCTAGAGTTTAGATATTAAGCATGAAACATCTTCTAGTGAGTGTCTACAAAGTTTGTTCAAATTAAAGCCCTTGGGTCAAAATTGGCCCCGCCCCGGGGGTCATTGATTTTGCTTATATGTGTATAGCAAAAACTTAAAAAACCTTCTTTGAAAAAATCCCAAATAGCTAGAGTTTAGATATTAAGCATGAAACATCTTCTTATAAGTGTCTACAAAGTTTGTTCAAATAAAAGCCCTGGGGTCAAAACTGGCCCTGCCCCTGGGGTGTCATTGTTTTTAACTATATGTGTATAGTAAAAACTTAAAAAATCTTCTTTTAAAAAACCCAATGAATGAGCTAGAGCTTAGATGTTTAGCATGAAACATCTTCTTATAGGTGTCTACCAAGTTTGTTCAGGTAAAAGCCCTTGGGTTAAAATTAACTCTGCAGGGGGAAGGGGTGGGGGAGAAGGTCATTGTTTTTCCTTATATGTGTATAGCAAAAACTTAACATCATGAAAAATCTTCTAATGGGTGTCTTAATTCCAAGTTTGTTCAAATAAAAGCCCTAGGGTTTAAACTGGCCCCGCTTCGGGGGCCTATATACAGGTGAGCGACCTCAGGGCTATCATGGCCGTCTTGTTTACTGTTACTCCATGATTTCTTAAGGAATAAACTTCATACTTCAAATATATGTACCTTATCATCACCCCCATCTTATGTGACAAGGTTCATAACTCTAGCACCAATATTTTCAGATTTATTCCTTTCATTATCTGTTTACATCAATATTGACAAATAGGGGTGTCGATAAAATTCTTATTTAAAAAAATACTACTTATCGCCAAAATTTTTACCTAATCAGTCACTCATTTTTTATGCGTTTAGCATTAAAGTGTAGTGGTAGAGTGTTCGCTCTATGAGTGTGGAGACACTGGTTCGAATCCTGGTAGAGGTATTTTTTCTTTTCTTTTTTTTGTTTTTAGTGTTTTTTTTACAAAGAACTGGATTTTAGCACAATGCTATTTGAGAACATTTAGTTATACAGACATTCGAATTCAACAGGTTAAGTATAAGACAATGTGATTAGGGTGATAACTTAGCAATGGAAGATTAATATATACAAATGAGCCAACATTATTAAAATGTGGCGAATAGAATTCAGAGTTTCAAACGGAATAAAATTGATAATTATTCTATTCAATCTGTTCAATGACAGTTAAAAATCAAATTTATCCAATTTTATACTTGTTAAACTGTGTAACTGTAAATGTTATCTATTTAGGGCAAAATTATGGAAAGCCTTGACTGTCTTATAATTATAAACCTAAACGTTGTTATGTCCATATAGCAATACAATGTATATTGAGTCAACCTTTCCTTATACAATGTGCACTCATTAATATATTATGTGGATCCATCTTTATATGTAGTTAACTGAACAATATATGATGTCAACGTGTCTTTATGTGATGATACGTTGTGCATTTTTGAATATGTTATGTGGAGCCATCCTTATATAAGGTCAAAATAACAATATATGATGTCAATCTGTCCTTATATGATGTCAGTCTGTCATTATATGATGTGAAGTTATGAATATATTAGGTGGAATAATTCTTATATAGAGACAACATTTTATGATGTCAGCGCGTCCTTATATGATGCCAATCTATCATTATACAATGTGCATTTTTCAGTATATTATGTGAAACCATCCTTATATAGAGTCAACTTAACAATATATGATGTGAATATGTCCTTATATGATGTCAGTCTTTCATTATATGATGTGCATTAATGAATAATATTATATTATGTGAAACCATCCTTATATAGAGTCAACTTAACAATATATGATGAGAATATGTCCTTATATGACGTCAGTCTTTCATTATATGATGTGCAATTACGAATATATTATGTGGAACCATTCTTATACTGAGTAATAACAACATTATAGTGTGTAAAATCGTCTTTATATAGAGTCAAAACAACACTATATTATGTACATGTAGAATTGTCATTATATAGAGTCAGCTTAACAATATATGATACAACTTACTTTGAGTTTTCCCTCTGTTGCCACGAACGGTGCATAGTGAGATATAATCCGTAAATTTAACCCCATCAGTATAATGACAGAAGCACACCATATAATGATGTTTGCACTGCATATAAAGCAGGGGTCGTATAATAATAGATGCACGTTGTATAATGAAAGATTGACATAATATATTGATAAGTTGACTAATTATAATGATGCTACCACATAATATACTCATAAATGCACATCTTATAATAATAAATGCACATCGTATAATGAAAGATTGACATAATATATTGATAAGTTGAATATATATAATGATGCTACCACATAATATATTCATAAATGCACATCGTATAATAAAAGATGCACATCGTATAATGAAAGATTGACATAATATATTGATAAGTTGACTACATGTATATATAATGATGCTAACCACATAATATATTCATAAATGCACATTGTATAATAATAGATGCACATTGTATAATAATAGATGCACATTGTATAATGAAAGATTGACATAATATATTGATAAGTTGACTAATTATAATGATGCTACCACATAATATACTCATAAATGCACATCTTATAATAATAAATGCACATCGTATAATGAAAGATTGACATAATATATTGATAAGTTGAATATATATAATGATGCTACCACATAATATATTCATAAATGCACATCGTATAATAAAAGATGCACATCGTATAATGAAAGATTGACATAATATATTGATAAGTTGACTACATGTATATATAATGATGCTAACCACATAATATATTCATAAATGCACATTGTATAATAATAGATGCACATTGTATAATGAAAGATTGACATAATATATTGATAAGTTGACTAATTATAATGATGCTACCACATAATATACTCATAAATGCACATCTTATAATAATAAATGCACATCGTATAATGAAAGATTGACATAATATATTGATAAGTTGAATATATATAATGATGCTACCACATAATATACTCATAAATGCACATTGTATAATAAAAGATGCACATCGTATAATGAAAGATTGACATAATATATTGATAAGTTGAATATATATAATGATGCTACCACATAATATACTCATAAATGCACATTGTATAATAAAAGATGCACATCGTATAATGAAAGATTGACATAATATATTGATAAGTTGAATATATATAATGATGCTACCACATAATATACTCATAAATGCACATTGTATAATAAAAGATGCACATCGTATAATGAAAGAGTGACATAAAATATTGATAAGTTGACATAATATAATGATTCTACCACATAATATATTCATAAATGCACATCGTATAATGATTGGTCGACATCATATAAAGACACATTGACATAATATATTGTTCAGTTGAATTCATATAAGGATGCATCCACATAATATATTCATGAGTGCACATTGTATAAAGAAAAAATGACACAACAATGTTCATTTTTACAATCATAAGACAGTCAAGGCTTTCCATACAAAATGTTATCTATAAAAAGATATAATCTATAATTAGAAGCAAAAGATACTCAAATTTTTCCAAATATAGTTACATGAAATAATATGCTCAAAATAGACAATATTTTGTGAATTCATAAAACGAAATAAGAAGTGGACAGGAAATCTGATTATTAAAGGGTAAATAATAATTCATGTGTACTCCTGTACTTCATTCTTAAACTTTTAAATATATTTAGAGTAAGCTTTTTATCATATTTATCAAACTTTTTGTTTGAAATAAATGTTCAGAAAATTCTTTTACAAAAAAATGGTTAAGATTCTACTCATTTTTGAAAATCATTAGTAATTATAATTTATAACTTTTCCTCTTTGATATATATTTCTTCATTTTTTTCTTTTTTATATGACTATATTTTATTTGCATGACAATGATGCTTATATGAGTGATTTATTTTGCCTTAAAAACTTTTCTGGCAAATTTGGCTAGCTGCCAGTACACAAAAAAATTTCAGATTTTTTTTTTTTTTTAATCAGAAATCACAAAATGGAAAAGTATTCTGTACATTCATGAGAGTTTTATAATCTATGATGTATTTCAGACTAAATAATTTCTAGTCTTATTTGGCTTTCGTCAACAACAATGGCTGATCACTTCCACAGACTTTTCAGCTTTTTGGTAAATATATGTCCAGACCCTCTTCGAAAATTGTTCTTGGTTAAAGCCAAGGCTGACCCTGGCGCAAAGGATACATTACTAGATTCATTTCTACGATCTAAGGAAAACGAAATAAGAAAGTTGAAACTGCACGAGAATCAATATGCTTTACTATTTCCTTTAACTGGTAAAGCGGATGCAATGGAGTGGGACATTGCTTTACTGACTGTGTTAATAAACAAGCTATTCAGTTGCTCTCCTCAAATTACATTTTATATTAATCAAATCAGAGAAATTAGAAATAAGTTACTACACCTACCAAATACGTCAAGTATAGATGACACAGACTTTGAAGATTGTTGGAATGCTTTGGAAACAGCAACTTTGGTCCTAGCTGATCTACAAGGGCTTGAATACAAAGAAACCATTAAAGGTAAAATTGACAAAGCTCGAATAGATAATTTGCCAGATCTAGGAAACACTCTGTGTAAATGGTTTGAAGGAAAATTTACCGAAATGCAGAGAGACACTAAAGACATTAAAGAGAATGTCAGTGAAAGTGTAAACATTTTGCGAAGCACAACTGTAACCACAACTGAAGCAGATGGGAAAGAAGTCAAAAGTTTTAAGATTTTGAATGAAGAGCTAAAGGGAATGCATGGTTTGTAAAATTCTTAGAGTGAAGTTACTAATTTATAAAGTCCTCATTATTCATGAAACATAAACATAGGTTATGTTCCTTATATAATTGACTCTATGATTTTATATTTCACATAAAGTACTCTTTTTCCCTCTGGTAGGATATTTCTTGTACCAGTACATAAAGCTCATGGTATACACATTAAATAATAAATTCAAAGGCCATAATCCTAGAAAGTATTCTTTATCAATATGGGATCTTTTTTTCCCCAATGGCCCTATATTATACAAAAGAAAAAACAACAACAAAAGAAATGGCCCCTTTTAGCTCACCTGTCACAAAGTGACATGGTTAGCTTTTGTGATCGCTTTCCGTCCAGCATCCATCTGTCCGGCCAAAAACTTTTTCTTTAAACAACATCTCCTCATAAACCGCTTAGCCAAATTCATCCAAACTACACAAGAATGTTCCTTTGGTGGTCAACTTTAAAAATTTAATTTAATTTTAACTTTAATTCAATGCAGAACTCTGGTTGCCATGGCAACCAAAAGAAAATACTTAAAAATTCTCTTTTAAAAAACCAAAAGAGCTAGAGCTTAGATATTTTGCATGACACATCGTCTAGTCAGTGTCTACCAAGTTTGTTCAAATAAAAGCCCTGGAGTCAAAATTGGCCCTGCCACGGGGATGTCATTGATATTCCTTATGTATATAGTAAAAACTTCTTTTAAAAAACCAAAAAAACTAGAGCTTAGATATTTGGCATGAGACATCAACTAGTCAATGTCTACCAAGTTTGTTCAAATAAAATCCCTCAGGTCAAAATTGGCCTAGCTCTGGGAAGGTCATTTATATTCCTTATATGTATATAGTAAAAACTTTAAAAATCTTCTTTTAAAAATCCTATTGAGCTAGAGCTAAGATATTAAGCATGAAACATCTTCTAATGGGTGTCTACCAAGTTAATGGGTATCAACCAAGTTTGTTAAAATTAAAGCCCTGGGGTCAAAATTGGCCTCGCCCTGGGGGGTCATTGATTTTCCCTATATGTGTAAATATAAAAACTTAAAAAACCAAAAGAGCTAGAGTTTAGATACTAAGCATGAAATATCATGAAATATCTTCTTGTGAGTGTCTACCAAGTTTGTTTAAATAAAAGTCCTGGGGTCAAAATTGGCCCCGCCCAGGTCATTGTTTTTTCCCTAAATGTGTATAGTAAAAACTTAAAAAATCTTCTGATGGGTGTTTACCAAGTTTGTTCAAATAAAAGCCATTTGGTTAAACTGGCCCCGCCAGAGGGGCCTATATACAGGTGAGCAATTTCAGGGCCATCATGATGGCCCTCTTGTTTCTATTTTTGGTCTCTTCTCGAAATGAAAGATTTATTTTTTATTACTCAAACAACTTTTCATTTGGGCATGTAATGGTATTGCCCCACCTTAGTGATGCTCTTGTTATGTACTTTGTATCTACCTTGAGTTATGCATGAACCGATGGTTAAATACAACCAACTAAGTATTGTAATATTGTAAGTTTTATATGTACAAAAAGTTATATACCAGTACCATATAGACACCAATCAGAGGTAATGAGATCAGCTTGTTGGTCTATCTAGCAAGACCGTCAGGTTCTGGCCATAACTTCTCTATGTATAATGGGATTCCAAAATAAAATGGCTCATAAGACCACTTTAAGTACATGTGTAGGCAATGTGTAGAGAACAAGAACCAGGTTTCTAGCTTGGAACTGAACTTAGGGTTTCAAGTTGTGTCCTGTCTATAATTTTTGCATGGTAATTATAAAAAAGCGACACATGTTCACCGTAAGTAGACAATGTGTTGTGTGCAAGTTAAATCTGACGAACAAATTTTACCCAAGATAAAATAAAGTATGATCAATGAGCAAATTTAACCATGAAAGGCATGAGATGATATTCGCAGCTGTATACATCCTTTGTAGACAAGTTGTGTGCTATCCTGCAACTGTTGTGTATTTATGGAAGTTCAATCAAAGATTAATATAAGTTTGTATCGGAAAGCTAAACCACTCATTTTGTTTTGCCCAATTTTTTAAAAGGTTTTTAACGAAAACCAGTTATTGTAATGCTTAAGTCAGGGAACGGATTGGCGGTCTTGCAAGCGGTGGGCGTTAACTTTGGTTCCCATTCAACAACTTGAGTTTGCTTTTGTCTACCGGTATTGCTCCAAACTTGATGTGTTGGTAGCTTGTATCAAGAGGCAGCCTGGGATTGATACCCAGGTGTCTATGATCAAGGTCACTGCTGCTAAAAATAGAAATTCAGTTTCCTATCAATAACTTGAGTTTGCTTTGGCCAGTTGACACAAAGCTTGGTGTATTGGTAGTTTATATTAAGAGGCAGCTTGGGATAGCTACCCAGTTGCATGTGATCAAGGTCAAGGTCACTGTTGCTTAAAAGAAAAAATTCAGTTTTCATGGAATAACTAGAGTTTGCTTTGACCTATTGACTAAACTTGCTGTGTGGGTAGCTTATATTAAGATGCAGCTTGGGATTGCTACTGAGATATGTGGGAGGTCAAGGTCACTTGCTTTCAATAGAATTTTTAGATTCTACTCATTAACTTCAGTACACTTTGACCTATCGATACCTGGTTTTGTCGCATTGCCGTGTTTCTTGTTTATTTATTGTCTTTTGCATACTTTATTTTTTACCAGAGCATAATTATCTTTAAAGGAATATGATGTACCAGCATAAAATTTATAGGACCTTGCAGTGGCAGTTCTTGATATCATAAGGAAAATTAATATAAACATGTTTTAACAATTTTCATCAATGGGTCTCTTCTATAATTGAAAGATTATTTTTGATTACTCAAACAAATTTGCATTTGGGTGTATTTTGCCCAAACTCTGCAGTGCTCTTATTACTATTTTGTTGCTATAGAAATATAACTTTTTCATTAAACTTTGATCAAATATATCTCTAGTGTAAATATCTTATTCAAATTATTTCATGTAAAGTAATACAAACTTATCTGACTTCAGTAATCTCTCTTTTTTACCTTTATCTAGAGCTGACAGAACTTTTTCTAGAGCATAGCCAGGGGTATGTTGATCCAGAAATGCTGAAAGCTGCAAAAACAAAGATGGAAGAAAATAAATCAGTGATAATAATTGGAAACCCGGCAAGTGGAAAAACCTCATTGGCTGTTGCTCTTGCAGCTTCATATGAGAGATCAAAAGTTCTGCTTCTGACATCCCCAGATCAGGTCCAACATGTAAATTACAATAAGACACACCTTGTTATCATTGAAGATTTTGCTGGAAAATATAATTTTGACAAAGTTCAAGCATGCAATTGGTATAGAAAACTTGATCTGCTTAAATTAATGACATCTGCTGGAAAACTTAATCTGATTGTGACATGTGATAAAGAGCAACTGAAAATGTGTATGGACAAAATTGCAATTCATCTATTATTTGAACATAGAGTTGATCTTCAACCACCTAATGGAAAACATAATAGCAGTAAGCTTTTAACATTTTTACACTCTTGATTTACACTCTTGGATAAGTTATTTCAAGTTTGTATCATAGGAGTAATAGTAAGGCATATCAATTATGGTGCTGTCATGAGAATATAGCAGTTTACAAATTGAATAAGAAGGAAAAGCATGAGATTAAACAAAATCAACACATGTAAAGGTTATTTACAAATGCTTGTAATTTTGTATGCTCCTTATAGGTAGAACGTAATAAGTCGCCGCCTTGTCCATCCATCCATCGGTCTGTCACACTCTTGTCCAAAGAATAAGTTGAAAAGTATTTAAGAAATTTTATTTAAGCTTTACACAGTGATAGAGACCATTATCAGGAAGTGTCCAAGAATGTACCTTGCTTATTTTTTAGCTCACCTGAGCAATGCTCAGGGTGAGCTATTGTGATGGCCCTGTGTCCGTCGTCGTGCGTCGTCAACTTTTAACATAAACAACATCTCCTCTGAAACCAATGACTGCACATCAATCAAACTTTACAAAAATGATCCTTGGGTGGTCCCCTTTCAAAGTTGTTCAAATGGTTCCGGTCTGTTGCATATGTAGGTCATAGGGCCAGAAAAGGATTTCAAAAAACACAAAATTAAAAAATCTTCTTGTCTGAAAGTACATGGGCCAGAGCTTTTATTTTTGGTATATTGTATCATCTATGGGTCCTCTACCAAAGTTGTTTAAATTTTGTCCCTAGTGTCAAAATTGGCCCCGCCCCGGGGGGTCATAGGTTTTTCCTTATATGTATATAGTAAAATCTAAAAAAATCATCTTCTCTGATTTGGCAAAGGCTACAGATTAGATATTTGGCATGAAACATTGTGTAGTAGACCTCTATCCAGATTGTTCAAATAATGGCCCTAGGGTCAAAATTGGCCCCGCCCCGGGGGGTCATTGATTTTCATTACATACATTTAGTGAAAACTTGAAAAATCTTCTGGTCTGAAAGTAAATGGCCTAGAGCTTTGATATTTGGTCTATGGTATCATCTGAAGGTCCAATACCAAAGTTGTACAAATTTTGTCCCTAGTGTCAAAATTGGCCCCGCCTCATAGGTTTTTCTAATATGTATTTAGTAAAACATAAAAAAATCTTCTTCCCTGAATTGGCAAAGGCTACAGGTAAGATATTTGGCATGAAACATTGTGTGGTAGACCTCTACCAAGATTGTTCAAATAATGGCCCTCAAGTCAAAATTGGCCCCGCCCTCGGGGGGTCATTGATTTTCATTATATACATATAGTGAAATCTTCTGGTCTGAAAGTAAATGGCCTAGAGCTTTGATATTTGGTCTATGGTATCATCTATAGGTCCAAAACCAAAGTTGTTCAAATTTTGTTCCTAGAATTAAAATCGGCCCCGCCCTGGGGGTCATTGATTTTCCTTATGTGTATATAGTAAAAACTTTTAAAAAAAAATCTTCTTTTAAAGAACCCAAAGAGCTAGAGCTAAGATATTTAGCATGAAACATCTTCTAATGGGTGTCTACCAAGTTTGTTCAAATAAAAGCCCTGGGGTCAAAATTGGCCCCGCCCCAGGGGGTCATTGATTATCCCTATATGCATATAGTAAAAACTTTAAAAAAATTCTTTTAAAGAATGCAAAGAGCTAAGATATTTAGCATGAAACATGTTCTAATGGATGTCTACCAAGTTCGTTCAAATAAGAGCCTTGGGGTCAAAATTGGCCCCGCCCCGGGGGTCATTAATTAGCTCGACTTTTTTTTTTTTTAGATATATACATATTATATATATTCAATATACATACATACATACATACATACATACATTACATACATATATATATATATTATATATATATATATATATATATATATATATATATATATATATATTATAAATATATATAATCTGTTATCATCATCATCATCATCAACATCAACAACAACAACAACATTTATTTATTGTTATTGTTTGTATTATTTATAAAATTGCAAGCTACTATTTATAGAATTGTGTGTTACTATCTATAGAATTGTGTGTTTCTATTTATAGAATTGCGTGTTACTATTTATAGAATTGCATGTTTCTATTTATAGAATTGCGTGTTACTATTTATAGAATTGCGTGTTACTATTTATAGAATTGCGTGTTTCTATTTATAGAATTGCGTGTTACTATTTATAGAATTGCGTGTTTCTATTTATAGTATTGCGTGTTAGAGTTTAGATATTAAGCATGAAGCATCTTCTAGTGAGTGTCTACAAAGTTTGTTCAAATAAAAGCCCTGGGGTCAAAATTGGCCCTGACCCAGGGGACATTGATTTTCCTTATATGTGAAAAACTTAAAAATCTTCTTCGAAAAAACCTGAATAGCTAGAGTTCAGATATTAAGCATGAAACATTGTCTAGTAAGTGTCTACAAAGATTGTTCAAATAAAAGCCCTGGGATCAAAACTGGCCCTGCCCCAGGTGTGTCATTGTTTTTAACTATATGTGTAAGGAAAAAAACTTTAAAAAATCTTCTTTTAAAAAACCCAACAAGCTAGACCTTAGATGTTTAGCATGAAACATCTTCTAATGGGTGTCAACCAAGTTTGTTCAAATTAAAGCCCTGGGGTTTAAACTGGCCCTGCTCCAGGGGCCTATATACAGGTGAGCGACTTTGGGCCATCATGGCCCTTTTTGTTTTAGTTATCTCCCTAAAGTTAAAATGCTTTTCCAATTTTGTTTATTATTTACAGCCTTAATTAATTGACTGATGTGTTTCATATTTAGTAGATACATACCATTAATTGATGGTTTTCTACCTTTGGTCATTTTGGTTATGGTCAAGGTCACTGATGCTTAAAAAAGAACTTTATACTTTTGCTAATACAGCTTTTGTTTACTTACTCATCTCTTTCATATTAAGTAAACAGATACTTTTGGTAGTTCTCTAAATTTTTGGGAGGTAATGGGACATTCTCATACATGTACTTAGGTCAAGGTCACTGATGCTAAAATTGATAATGATTCTTCTACTTATACATGTTAAGCTTTTATTTATTGGCTGGCGTCTTTCTTACTCAGTAGGTAAACATCTAGGTTGGTACTGGAATTTTTGGGTGAAGGAGAAGTTGTCACTTGGTTCAAGGTCAAGATTTTACAATTTTATCCATGCAGTCTTTATTTATTGACAGATGTCTTTCATATTTGGTTGGTAGATACCTTTCCTTTTCCTCTTACTTTTGGGTGAAGTTAGGGTACTGGGGCCCAGCTCACCAGTGCAAAAATATGATTTTTACACTTTAACACCTGTACTTCCTAATGTGCATTGAATGCATTCAAAAATGTGCATGTTCAGGGAGCATATTAATAATCACCTTCAGTTATATTCTTGTATAACAAATATTTGGCATCAGTTTGAAATATACAAAAACATACCAAGCAACATTTTTGTTTAAGTTCAACTGTGCAAGTTATTCAAAGAATTCATTAATTGCAGAGCTCTTGTTGCCATGGCAACAAAAACTAAAGGAAAGCATGACACTGAAGAGAGTTTCTGATGAAGATATGGATGATACTATATTTGTGAAAAGGAGGGAAAGCTTGCCAGTCGATTTGATATGCACAACAAGGGTTATAGAGCCAACAGAAACAGCGAATACATGTACCATCCCTTTTAGACGTGGTGGATGAAGGATTCTAAAAAGAATAAAGATTGACATTGATTTTGTGTATTTGGCTGTAATGCGTTATAAATTGTAACCTTCTAGACAAAACAGCTGTTACTCTATTTGCACTTTCCTATGCATCAGTTAAATGTTTCAGTATTATTTGCTTTCTTGTGAAGAAACGCAAATGAATATTTCTATAAAAAAATCTGTAATCGTAAAAGAAGCTTGAACATTTGTATGTGAAACTAATGTATATAATTATTTGATTATCTTTGTATTTTTAGATTTTTTATGTTTATAAATAAAAAGCTTGTACATTTATATGTGAAACTAATGTATATATTTTTGATGGTCAAAACTCTGACAACCTACCTGTTCTCTTTGGTGTCTCCCAAGGCCCGGTCCTGGGACCTTGCCTCTTCTTATCCTACATAAATGACCTTCCTGATAGTGTTAAGGGCAAGGTCAGGCTATTTGCAGACGATACCATAGTATATCTAACAATCAAATCAACCCAAGACGCCCAAACCCTCCAAAAAGATCTCAACAGTCTTGAAAACTGGGAATCTGATTGGTCCATGGAATTTAACCCAGATAAATGTGAAGTCCTTAGTATCAGCCTCAAGAAACATCCAGTAATTCCAATTTTTCGGTAAGGGCTGTTCCATTCTGTTTGGCATCCTTTGCAAAAATATCTGGTTTACAAAATAGAACAAGTTCAAAGGTCAGCTGCCAGATATGTATACAACAACTACAATTACACCAGTAGTGTATTAGCTCTGTTACCCTTCTGTACAAAATCCAACACAATCTTGTGAGGGTCGACCGACCATCATCATCTGACACCCACTAGAAACCTGAACTTCCTAATACCATAATCAAGGACAGAATACCACTCCTACTAATTTTGCCCAAGAAGTATTTGTTTGTTGAATGGCCGCATTTATTTGTTTTCTTTGAATTCCTTATCAGTTACAAATTATTTATCATTTAAGTGATTAACCTGTCCGTGCTCTGTCTTGTGCCCTGTCCTGTTTTTGTTTGGGGTCCGCCTGGGCTCCTTGCCACTGGTTCTTGTTGCTGGGTCGTATAGGGTTGCGTTCATTGAAAGCCGTCTTTTCTTGTTGATGTTGTTTATTATATTTTGTACATTTATATGTGAAACTAATGTATATATTGATTATCTTTGTACTTTTAGATTTTGTGTGTTTATAAATATATACTTGTACATTTATATGTGAAACTAGTGTATATATTTGATTTTCTTGCATAGCAGACTGGCGTTTCTGTGAGTTTTACCCATACCGGAAATTTCATCTGGCATGGGGGTGCCAGATGAGTCGCATGCCAAACAACAACATCATTTTAGTGCACTTAATGAATGAACCGCGTTAATATGACGTCGTTTTAGAAGGGAAATATGTGCTTAGGATGACATCATTTCGCTGTTGTTATTTAAGTTGTAAGTTCATACGCTATTGTAAGAAAATAGTTATGGATGAAATGACTTTAATTTCCATGAACATATATCATATTAAGGTAAACTATTTCAAATATGAAATAATATGGCAGAATATGCAAGGAAAAATATGTGACATATGTTTGCAGTTTGGATCGGAATATCCGTCACTCGGGAACCCACCCATGGGCGGCAACTCGGCAAGCCTCATTTCTTCGGGACGGATATTCCGGTCCAAAACGCAACATATGACAGATATTATTAATCTTTGTATTTTTAGATTTTGTGTGTTTATAAATAAATGGTTTTTATGTGTGTTTTCAAATGGAAACTGTTAAGTGATAATTAAGATATCTTTTCAATGGAAAGTTTGTTTTTCCTAAACATTGAAAGTCTTTTAGGAAATAGTTAATCTTACTCAAGGCCTTATTAACTTAATACACATGTCATATGCAAGTTAGAATTGTCATAATCTCATGTCTATCAAGAGTAATGGAGTTATAATATTTTGTGAAAAATTTGTTTACTTTTTATGCTAAGTTATAATATTTTTTTGTTATGAAAAAGTAATCGGAATGTGAGTTATCAAAAAGTCAAATTATCCAAAACCTGTGGGCTGCCAGCTTGTTTGTCACCTGGAATTAGTATTTTTCTATTAAAACTACTGAATTTTCAATCCAACTTCAATAAAATAGATAGTTAGATTCATTTTGAATTCTTGTTTCCAGGTATGCACAATTTACTCAAATATTTCTTTCTTGTACATTTGTATATTTCGTATTTGGTAAATATTTATACAATATAATATTTTGTAAATTGTTTTTTGTAAATATGGTAAATGATGAAAAAGCCAAACACGAAGATACAATTTAGAGTTACAGTATGTTGTACATAATATCATTTACTGTACACTCCTGATTAATTTTATAAAGTAATGTTCTTATATTCAAAATTTTGTAAAATGTAACCGTTTTTAGGATACAAACAGTTTTAAATTAGAAGTAGGTCAATTTTGTGTTCTGAAATTATAGTAAAATGTTATTGTTAAGTTGTTTTTTTAAATTTTGATGTTGACTGGTACTTCCTACTTAGTTAAATAAGCAAGTTGTTTCCCTTGGTTTATTAATTCCTTATTTTTAGCTCGACTATTCGATAAGAATAAGTAGAGCTATTGCAGTCACCCGAGCGTCGGCGTCGGCGTCGGCGTAACCACTTATGTTAAAGTTTTTGTAATAGTTCAAATATTTTCAAAGTCCATTGACATATGGCTTTGAAACTTTGCACACTTGTTCACCATCATGACCCCAACCTGTAGACAGGAGGAGGTAACTCTATCAAGCATTTTGACAGAATTATGCCCCTTTTTCGACTTAGAATTTACGTTAAAGTTTTTGTAATAGTTCAAATATTTTCAAAGTCCATTGACATATGGCTTTGAAACTTTGCACACTTGTTCACCATCATGACCCAAACCTGTAGACAGGAGGAGGTAACTCTATCAAGTATTTTGACAGAATTATGCCCCTTTTTCGACTTAGAATTTATGTTAAAGTTTTTGTAATAGTTCAAATATTTTCAAAGTCCATTGACATATGGCTTTGAAACTTTGCACACTTGTTCACCATCATGACCCCAACCTGTAGACAGGAGGAGGTAACTCTATCAAGCATTTTGACAGAATTATGCCCCTTTTTCGACTTACAATTTACGTTAAAGTTTTTGTAATAGTTCAAATATTTTCAAAGTCCATTGACATATGGCTTTGAAACTTTGCACACTTGTTCAACATCATGACCCCAACCTGTAAACAGGAGGAGGTAACTCTATCAAGCATTTTGACAGAATTATGCCCCTTTTTCGACTTAGAATTTACGTTAAAGTTTTTGTAATAGTTCAAATATTTTCAAAGTCCATTGACATATGGCTTTGAAACTTTGCACACTTGTTCACCATCATGACCCCAACCTGTAAACAGGAGGAGGTAACTGTATCAGGCATTTTTTTTACTATCAAGCACTAAGAATAGTCGAGCATGCTGTCCTACCGACAGCTCTTGTTATAACATATTCTTAACAAATTGTTGTACACTATTTGGAATGCCTAAATGATCTGCTGTACATGTTTAATTATCATGTAAATGATTGTGTACTTTGTAGGTTCATTTTATTCTATACTTATTACCCTTGAATTTGCCAATTTCCTATTCTTTAAATTAGGTAATATATTTTTCATACATTATTTTGAATGTTTAAATGATTTACTGTACATGTTTAATATCATATGAAAGTTTGTGTACCTTGTAGTCATTTCATTCTATAGTTCTTTTGTTTTAGTTTGGAAATTGGATTTGAATAGAATAAATAGTTAATTTAGTTAAATTTATTTCGAAATTCTCGTTTCTGGCCTGGCACTTTCCATTCAGCCCCCCCCCCCTTCCCCCCGGACGTTCAATAGGCATCCGAAACATATGTTAAAATGAAGAGGGCAAAATTATTATAGTTCATATAGTTATAGTTCATAACCAATATTCAACTCATATGAAAGGTTCTCAGCATAAATCAACTTACAAAGGTAGATTTTTGTAACTTGTAAAAGGTCACCTCTCCACATCAACAATTAAACCATTGATATTAAACCTATTGTTTCCAAACAATATTAACAGACCAACACCACTAATGTAGTCCATGGCCTTCATATGAAGGCCTACAATATTCTGTTGTTTTCTCCATTTTTGATAACTTTCACATTCTGTTTACTGTTTATGATTATTATTAATAATAAACTTGCTTCAAGTGCTTGTGCACAGTTCAAAATTCAAAGCAAAACCAGTCATTTAAACAAATTAGGAATAATCAATGTTATACATGTATAATTCAAAACAAGAAAAAGAAAAAGACATATTTGCAGTATTTTATAGTTTATTTTGCAATAGTAATAGTTACATGAAAACAGTATGAGATCTATAAATACACTATATGGGTGATAGGATGTCGGCAGGGCAAAAAAAAACAACATTACCTCACAGGAAGCATACACAAGTCTATTTATTAATACAGCAATGATAAAAAGGGAAGTGTTTCAAAAATGGCTAGTTAGAAGACAAGGACTGTTTTCTCTAAGTTGAAGTATGCAAAAATTAGTAAATTAGATTGATAGAAATTATTTATACTTTTAAATCAATAAAGAATGAGATACATTATTGTCATATTTGTTGTTTTTTAACAGGAACTTGTTATTTAGATATACCGTCACATATGGTAAATCATTCATTTTAAGTACATTAGTGTTTGAAATTATTTTTTGTCCAATAGGATCCCAGTATTTCAAATGAATCGTAACACATTTACTTTGGTAAATTGGCAAACTATTAAACAGTCTAGTAAATTGTCTGTTTTAAAGATAATTTAAAACACTAAGCCAGTTAAAATTTCTCAGAACGCATTTACAAAATTTAATTGGTTGCACGGCTGTGCCACGCCTGACCAATTTAATTTCATAAATACGTACTAATAAACTTTAACCTATACTTAAAATACATCAGTTAACTGAGCAGCTTGAAATTAAACTCGAGAAGACTGTATCAGGGACGAAAGTGAAAATAATGACAGAATAAAAGTACAATATTAATTAATAACCAATATGGCAGAAAAAGGGGGGTATACAACAGAAAAATATGTAAAAATTAGCATGAAAAAAAAAATAACTACTGAAACAAGGCACAATATAAACCATATGCAGGCACTTTATATTCCAGTAATAAATATAACAAGAGTAAATAATCATACATTTCATTTTTAACAAAATTATCAGCAGTTAAATTTCCTCCTCATATTAAAGTGGAAATTAAGAAATAAAATATGGCAAAACAATAGAAATTACCTCCCTTGGTGCTACTGTCCTCAAAAATTTAACTGGCATGTGACTATTGAAAGCATCACTTCATCCTATACAAGTTAAGTGTCTTAATTTCAAACAGAAAATTATTACAAAAGAATTAAAGTAAAAAATTAATGCACTATGACCATAAGCAATATTATTTATAGGTAGGTTTTAACTTTGTTTTATTAAATCAGTTCAATATGAAGAAACACGGTTATAACCCCAGTAGGATTCAAACCTATGATCCCTGTGTTGAGAGGCAGACACGTAAACCACTAGAGTACCAGTCAACAAAAAAAAAATTTGACTACAAAAAACAAAGAAAGAAGTTTTTAAACATTCATTTTCCTTGTCTGTCATAACATGATTAATTATTTGTTAATTTATAAATGAGTATTCTATTCCAACTTAATTCTGTAATATATATTTCATAGTTTAAGATCGAAGTAACCTTATAACCTTTGATCGGAATTATTGAAATTAGCTGACTTTCTAATTATTAGGATAATGAACTTGTTTAACAATGTTTGGCAATATTTACTAAGTTATATAATAAACTAGAATGTATTGTTTGTTTACCATCACAAAAAACTTCAAAATGTTTTGACTCCATAGTTTTTTGGTACTTATCAGCTTGTGATCTTGAGAAAATTGAAGAAAACTGTATGATCAGTGTGGATGAAAATTTTCAGATACTGTTTTTCCCTCTCTTTTAAACTCAGTTTGTGAAACTTTATATGAATATCAAAGACTTATTTATTTTTTAGACAAATGAAACACAGGTATATTTTAAGACTATATTTATATCAAAAATAATTCCTTAAGGTATCAAATTTTTTTTATCATTACTTAGAAAGCCTGCTTTCAGCTGTATAGATGAAATATGACTTACACAAGTCTATATATGTGATGGATGAAAAACAAATGATTTAAAAAAAAAGGAATCTCCAAATATCTGACTTCAGTCAATTGTATTTTATAGATATATATATATTATATACGAGGTTATTTGAACATGATAAAAAGTGTAAAATAAAAATTTCATCAGAATAGAACAAGCTTTCATGTACAGCAGCAAATTAAAAAAAAAATGCACAATAATTATATTTAAGACATACATGAAAAGATTGCGCAATCAGATTTTAAAACAACAAGAACAATCCTTCCCGCCACTGCGTCGTCGTCGTAAATTCCATGCTCTGTGAGAAACAATTACTATACATCTTTTCTATACATATCTACACATTTTTATGGTTGCCATAACAAATCTAAAAGCATAGTAACAGGATTGCTAGCAACAACATATACAATTTTATATAATTAAATAATAAAAACATCAATTTCAATGCAGCACTCATCTGCTCTCCAGCAAGCAGCCTTACTTCAACTTTTTAATATCTTGCTTTCACTGGACTTGGAAAAATCGTTCGTTTTCCAACTATTTTAAAAGTATATCCAAACATCTAATTTCTTTTACCACAACTTCATAACAAATTACCTCAATTTCATTTTCAAATTATATATGAGGTAATGGTTATCTTATTGCATGACATACAAAGTATTTTAAAAGACGTGACTATCGGAGAGAAAAGTTTAAAAGCTGTTTAAGCAATGGCTTTTCTTAAAAAACTTCTTTTCGTTAATCAGTTTCATAGATGACTACAGTATAACAGTGACTTATGGGTAAATGCATTTAAGTATTGATACTGCTTCATCGTATCATGGCATATCTCTCATATATATATACTGCCACTTTTTAGTTTTTTTCATCCGCGCTTTTATACGTAAGCTGTTATGCAAAACACAGACACTTTTCATAGGCACTATAAATGCTTTAAATCATATGAATATTGTTTTTCTCTCCCAGTACTTGTTGTTATGATGCATTTCTTCAAGATCGACCTCCGGTTAACTTATGAAAGAGTTCAACATCGAGAGTCTGATTTTTATCTTGCGATCTCATTGACAGGAAGATATAGCCTCCGATAAATTCATGAACAACTTTACAGTCCGCACTGAGTGATGAAAATACCACCTTTCCTTCTTCAAAGTCAAGAATTACGTTACGAACTTCCCAGTTCACATGCCAAGATCTCAAACTATCGTATCTCCATGTTTTTAAAGAATCTCCAGAATTCATGTCCATACGTATCACTTTATTCGGATGAATTCCCAATATTTCCTGAAATATATAAATTCAATGATAAAAATAAAATGCTGCATTTAATATTACAGTATGAATAGAAATGTTGATTTTTTTTTCTTAAAAATTTTCTTAAGCTAAACCTATACAGGCTTTTAATTTTTTTTTCTTTTTAACCAAAAACATTTAATACATTTCTTATTGACTTATCCTTAGTATATTTGAGTTTGAACTTGTTATTAAGTACTACCCCGCATTATCTGTAAATAATGACAGTTTTTCTTGTGTGGAAAAAACTTCTTTTAGTAATCAAAGGATGAAGTCAGACATTATGTACTGATTACAACTTAATCCAAAGAAAACATGAGCCACTACTTGTGTATACATTCACTTGTCTACATTTAACAGATCTATTAAACTATGGTAGATAACTCCGCAGCAATACTCTGACAGAAAGCACATTGAGTTACTTCCCTTTGAGCTGTCAGTAAAATGAAACTGAGCAAGAGCTTACCTCCTTTTTGCCATTAGCCATCTTAATAACGAAGTAGGATATTCCAAACTCGGGTAAAGCCTGCCAGGCCCGAATGTAGGCCAGTTTAGCTTCAATCAAGCCCATGTCTCTGACATTTGAATGAGCTTCCATTATACGATGAACAATCTGAAATAGTTTACATATGTATCAAATTAACATGAAGAAATATATGGAGAATGACAGACAGCATTCTTTAATAGAAATCACAGTTTCATGTGATAAATGTGGCAACAAGTAAAAGAATAATTTCAACACTCAGACATGTAATAATTGTTTTTTAACATCCGGGTACCAACCATTCTAACATCCAGGTACCAACAAAGGAAATATTAATTTTTAATAAATTTTGTTAGATTACTGCTAGTTATTCAATACAATCATGAAACTAAGAACATTTGAAAAAGCAGACCTGTGGGTTACACATTGGTTTATAACATAAGAAATTTAGAATTTTCCAACATTCAAATTATAGCTTCGTGTTACTTTAATCAGATTCCATTATTCAGTCAGACTTTTATGTAGAGAACGCCAAATGGACTACCAGTAAAACAATCTGAAGGAATTTCACATACAAAAAACAGCACTTCTGTTAGGAAATTAAATTTCCAAATAAATTCATTATGTACAGACTATTTACCTGTTTAGATTTAACTTTCTTGAAATGTCTTGGTGATACGAAATCTTCTGGGTTAATATCAAGCTGGTTTGGTGTGTTAATCTTATTCTCTGGGGCAGACGTCGTCTTCTGCATACTGAGGAGTTTCTGCAAGGATTGAACCTCTGTCTCATATGAACTGTCGGCCATTGTTTTTCCTTTTGATGCCAGCTTGCAGGCTGCCATCCATTTACAGTACTGCTCTTCCTGTAAAAGGTTCATAAACAAAATATTTTCTTAAAAATCCTTTAGACAGTTCATCGTTTTAAAAGCACATTCTTGTTAAATGACAAAACAGTTGTTATTCATGAAACCTGATGTTATTTTAAACATATTTTTGTATGTGTCACCAAGACAGATAATGTCATATGACAATTTTCCAGCCTTCATGGAAAGCTCTCTGGTGGTGTTACTTTGCCAATGCTAAGAAATGACATTTCAATGAGGAAGTCGGAAAATCTTTTTTTAGATTTTGACCTTCAAATGAATCTGAAATACTATTCAAGGATAGAGGTCCATGGTAGGTGCAAATACACCAAAATATGCAAGATATCATCCAATAAATGAAAATGCTGTATGAAATGCCAAGTGTGACTAGCAGAATTACAAACTGGCAGTTTTGAGGAGCATAAACAGAAATCGGCCAATTGTTAAGTACACTATTTCAGGTAGGTAGAGGCAACTGTGTCTATAGGAAAATCTCATTTTAGAAAACAACAACGCCATATACTTTATAGCCTTGTTTTCAGTGTTTTATACTTACTGATTCAAATCTCAACCAGATTTCTTCCATACCATCAGGCCCTGGTATGTACAGCTTAATTCCATACTTTTTATGATGAAGGTTGACATCTGGATGGGCCTCACATCCTAAAAGTAGAAAGTAAATCTTTTACTGAATAAAATAACTTAAACTTTTACAAGTGTTTTTGCTTTAGTGTTACTTATACACACTTGTATGTTTTTGCTTTAGTGTTACTGATACACACTTGTTGATCTAAACAAATGCTGGTTCTATTTAATAAGTGAAATAAAAGTTATGAGAACAATTTCATCAAAACAAAACTTGGACACCAAATAAAACTGAGGCAAACAAGTGACGAAAATGAAATAAATGCTCAAATTTACTGTTAGTTTAAACATATTTATTTAAGCTCAATTGCGAAAAAAGTTCATGCAACTTATATTAATCACTTTCGACTCCGCTTCCTGAAACCAACCAGTACTGGTGTCATATGAAGAAACATGGTCGTGACCCAAGTGGGGCTCGAACCCATGAGAGGCAGACACCTTAACCACTAGGCCACTACTCCTTTTACTGTTCATACTATACAATGCTTTTCTTACCTTTAAAATTTATTCTATTTATAGGAGAACCAACAGCCTCTTCCTTTGACCTGTAGAAAGCTACATGGGTGTCTCTGAATGAACACCAGTAACGTTTGTAGCTCTTCAATGTGAACTTCTTTGGTCTGAAACATTACACAGAAAATGTGAATATTCCAAACAAATAATACATGTACTTTGTTCTTTATCTTTCATGCATAAATGTTTAAATTCAACTTCTCATATTTCAAGTAAAATTAATAGCTGGTATGTATTTATATAATATAGAAATAACTAACATAGATATATAACATAAATGCCAGTATTATTTTTAAAATTAACTATAAAGTAAATTTTTATGCAATTATGTTGCTATGGTTGCCCTCCAGAAAATCTTTTGTTACAAAGTACAATTTACTCACTTTAAAAATTTGACATAGTCTGCTAATTCTGGAATATGAGTTATGTCACCAGGTGAGGAGAGATGACTGCCCTCTAGTGACTCTTGAAGGTCAGACAACGCGGCGTCAATATCGTCCCCGCCCTCGTGCATCATTGAAGAGTCGACTGTGTCATTTCCAGCACTGCTTCCCGACTGCAGCTGTACCTGGACCTGCAGGGCACCAAACATCATGGCTTCCTCCTCCGTGCAGTCCAGCTCCTCCGAAATTATCGCCCATTTTCCCTGCTCGTAGATCTGGTTAATCCTTACAGCGTCATACTGAAAATATACCAGATAATTCATAAACTATGTGTGAAGTAATTTTTTTTTAAGTTGGAAGCAATACGATGCCTTTTTTTAACAGTTTTAACAAGAAGAGTACATTTTATAAACATATAATTATGTTCGATTCTCAAAAAACAAAACAAAAAAAATCAACAATAAAACAGCATCTATTTTTATAAAGATCTTTCTTTCCTTGATTCAATCTTTATTACATCCCAATCTTTACTACATCTTTACAGAGTTATCTCACTTTCTCTCCAAAACCTTATCTAAACTTCCTCTTGCTTCATCTAACAATCAGGTAGATAATGGGTTCAGTGCAATAATGATTTAACTCAATATACGTAAAGAACAGGTAACAACTGAATTTTGATGAAGTCTCTAATTTAACTATAACAACATATCGCCCACTAGAACATTTCTTAACACTTTCTGGTACACCTACAATCTGACATACACAACAGGTGATACATTTATTTTTTGATTTTACCCCTATATCACAATTACAATTGCCAAGTCTATGTCTAACATCTTACGGTCATTATCTTTTACCATGATCGATTCAATTTTCCAGCAGGGATTTGAACCCACAACAAGAGTGATTCCAAATCTACATAGCTACCACCATAATCCAAGTCTTCATAATATCATTTCTATCTTCTGTCCACATGGAACTACCTTTTTCCATAAATTTCTCAGCTGGCTACTGGGGACTATTGTCTTTTGTTAAACATTCTTCTTCTCAATATCAGTGACTATTTTTTTGGTATTATTTTTTCAGCTGCTTCAAATATTTACACTTTATCAACCCGTTTACAAAGACACCACATCGGGAGGTTCCCTTAAACCCTTGATCTTTTGAAAAATAAGTTGATATCCCTATGTTAAAAAAGTGTTTGTATGCTGAATCAAGTGACTTTGCAAAAAGACTTATAAACTGTTATATCATGTATCAAATACCTTGTAAAGAAAAATCACTAACACTAGCATAGACCAGAAAAAAACGTTATAATGAAAGGAAATGAAATGCAACTTCTGCTACCTGATACTCTTGATGAAGCCATGCTCTTTTTTTTCAAATTCAAATCTTACTATCAGATGTTATCTTAATTTGAATTACAAGTGTTTATTTTAAGCCACTATTTTATTTTCTCCCAGGTGACTACAACATGTTTTTTGGACTACATGATAGATACAAAATTTAATTCTCGACATTTAAAAAATCACCTCCTCACAAGATCACCCTCACTACAACAGCCACCGATATTTCACCTCAACTTCTTTTTGACCTATTAGACATAATTAAAACTCACCAATGTTTGAAGACTGCCAGCTGAAAACCAATTTCTAACTTATAATATTTCTAAACTGTGTTCTAAAATGATAGAAATAATTGCAGATTTTACTGCTGCATTACAGATGTCTATTTACATTTTATTGAAATAATAATGTACAATGCAAACAATGCCGACATTTTCCAGTTTTAATTACGCCTAATTTCACTCTGGTAAACACTGTATTATACAAAGTGTCTTATTTTTTTACCAATGGTGTACTGTATGGAACATAAATCATAAAGCAACACAATAGAGATCCCTGGGCAAGTGTAGAGAATATGATTCCAGAATCAATATTGGGTAATCAAGCAGACCTGATAACCAAGCAGGCTCATTAAGCAAACAAAGTTAAATAAATCACCCATGTTCCATTCAATACATCTTTTTTACATTCCTATCTAGTACAGGAATCTGGATATGTGAATCTCAGTATCAGATGTAATACTGTAAAAGATCACAGTAATACAACAATTAATCTTTAGACATTGAACTGATGTTATGGATGGTTATACATGCATGTTCGCCATTTCTTACAAGAAATCTTACAAGAAATGTTATGGTATATTTTAAATCTTCAGGTACAAACCTTGAATATGCTTTAATCTCAACACCTGTTCTTCCAGGATGGGGAAAGTATAATCAAGAAACAGATAAAACTTAACAACATTTCTATATTATCATCATCCAGTGCAAGGAACTGAGATGATTTGTGCACAGATTATGAATGGCTGAGTAAGTATTGATAAGTATTGATATTACCTATACTCTATAAAACTGATTTTTCTTGAAGAAAGTGATTCTGACCCTAAATAAATAAATAGCTTTATGTCAGTTTTCTCACTTTTATTTTTGTTTCCAATTCAACCATTAAAGCATTAACTTATGAGAAAGTATCTGACATTTCGAGAAGAAAAAAATTCACTATATTTACTAAGAAAATAGATATGTCAAGAATTTACAAATGTTGGCAGCACATTTTGTTTTGTATGATATATCGGGCTGTATTGCCATCAGTAAACACACAGTCATCACGATCCAAGACATACTCAAAGTGCGTAAGTGCGTAATTTTCAGTCGAACAGTCACGTAAATAATGAGTAACAAAACATTCCATCCAAAACATCATAACCTGCGTAAAATGTGACCGTAGCATTCACAAAGTCACACCAACAAAATAAAATTCATAGTAAAACGGCAATAAAACATGATCCATCATAATTTATTTCATTTAATCTTAAATAAGATCAATATGATCGTAAACCATAAACTGTGTTCAGTAAAGATTTAAGTTATTCCTTTGGAAATACGCTATGATTTTTTCTAATTAAATTGAAATTTATTTCACATTCACAAAAAGATATAAATAATGTCATATTGTATAAAATTCTTCACATTTTTTTTTTCAAATGTAAAAATGAACGCCTACAAGCATTATCTGTTGTAAACAACATATTTATCAACCTTAAACATCTGAAAGTTCATCAACCTTATATGATGCTGCACTTTAAATGTAATGGACTCACTCTACTTAAAATTTGGAACACTCCATCAAATTATCAAAGTTACACAAGTGGCACAGGTTGGTATTTGTTAAATCTGGCATTGCAAAAGTCAGTACCACCATCCTGAAGTTCATTAACATTATCAGAGCAAGGAAACAACACCATCTATACAGTGTGGTTCTTTACTAACAGACTTCAGCAGTCAACAAATATTATTTATAGACTGACAGAAAAACTACTGTAAAAATATTAAAACTGTGGACAGTAAACGTCAAATAAATGTCATCATACAGAAACTTATACTTGAAACCAAATGGCCTTAGTGATTAAATCAACAGATTTTTCATTAACTAGAATAATAACTACTTTAAGCATAAAACTGCTTCTAGCAAAATTCAATAAAATATCAATTAAAACTTCACAATAGAAACACATATACTTCAAAGTCCTTGACATAGAATTCTATTTCTTTCATTCCAGTTTTTAAAGTTCAATATTTTACATACTGCTTTCAAGCAATATGGGTCAAGAAACTCTTGAAGAGCCATTTTATCTTTTTTCCCCCCTCTATATTAACCACCTGAAGACATTATAACACAAGATGGTGAACATTGGCTGCCAGTCAAACAGTTTATGTTGGCCGTCTGCCACAAAACTGAGCTGCAAAATGTACCACTAAAATATTTCTGACGCTGCCAAAATAAAACAGTGTTATGTAATGACTATATATCAATAAACAGATACACTATCTTTTTTTCTGCTTACTTTTTTTTCAAAGAGCTTTTCAGACCAGGATATCTAGAATAGTTATTTATCATATTTTATTTAATAGCAATCTTGCATTAAAAAAACGTCAATTACCTTCCAGACCAAATACCCCCTCCCCTCTATTACCTTCCAGAACAAATGCCCCTCACCCACAAGTCTTGATCTCATTAAACACTTCTGTAACACAAATGCAAATTCTACCCATTTAAAAAGTCTTTGCAGTATTTGATGAATTCAGGGTTTCTTTCACTAACTATAATCAGGAAAACAAAACTGGCAAATTGCATGTTACTCTCAAACTTTGTGTCTATTCTTAACAATTTATATTCATATTATCGAAACTGTTTTAGTTTTCAGAGAGAAAAAAACCACAAGACTTTCTTAAAATAATCTTTATTAAATAATCTTTATTTATTTAATTCACATATTAACCTGTCAAGCTTTACTGGTACTACTGACTTGAGCCAGTTGCTAGCCTGGACATCCATGAATCATATTTGCAATTCTGTCATCCACTAATAACTGTCCAAATACTTAAAACCCCTTAATCAAATCCTTAATTTAACCACTTTTCTGATACACTGCATTGAATGGTGATCCATTCTAAATTTGTCTAAGAATAAATACCATAAATCTAGGCTGCTATCAAATAGATCTTGATTATTCTGATTGTAATTAGTCTGTACCAACTCCCATTTACGAAAGTAAATATTAAGCATGTAACATAACACTACTACAAATATTCATCAATTTGTTCGATTAAGTCTGCCTTTATAACCTCCCATTATCTCAAGACTTGATACCATAATTAACTTAAATACACTTACAAATTGTACTGAACATTATTGTAAAATACGTTTATATACATATAGATATATATTGATAAAGTATTACATTTTATTAGAATAATCCAGAAGATCTTAAATGTTGCTACTGAGACTGTTGCAGCTAATGTATAATTACGGTATACCAAATAGTGTTACAAAATAGGGTCTCCCACGTACTTACACTGTACCCAGGTACCCTCTGGATATGCTCTGCTTTGAAAGTAGAATTGTCTACTGTGATTTTAAGAAAAATTTAATGCCAAATAATTAAAAACTCATTTACCCAGCAGTATAGTATGAGTCAAAATGCGCTGTCTTTGGCCTTGGTTTACTATTGGACACCTGTTATCAAGACTTTTAACACCAATGATGATATTGACAGATCTTATACTGTTAAGATGTTTGAAATTATCTCGACAAATGGCAGTTTTACTGTTGAAATAATCTGAAAACTGACAAACCCATGCATGCAAAATGCTCAGAAGCAAACATTCATACTGAGCAACAACTGTAAGAAATTAATTTAATGTGCTCATATAATTATTGTCTTTAAAATCAGA